AAACACAAAGAAATGCTCCTGCATTTCTCATAATATTTGACGGAAGAGGCAATTTCATCTTCTGTGCAGCTAATAAAAGTGTAGGAACTTTGCCCTCTTTTTCTGGGTGGTCACCCTACTTCACAGACCTGAGAATGTGGGGTTGTAATTGGGGGGAGGGGGTGCAGAATAGGAGCACCTTGGTGGCCATTTTAAGCAGCAAGGACAATGTGGTATAGTGCTTTGAGTGTTGGACTCAGACTCCAGGAGACCAAGGTTTGCTTAGCCATGGAAACTCAGGGCCCTTCCACACAGCCCTATATCCAAGAATATCAAGGCAGAAAATCACAATGTATTATCAAATGCTTTCATGGCCGGAACCACTGGGTTTTTGGGCTGTATGGTTATGTTCTAGAAGCATTCTCTCCTGACATTTCCCCTGCATCTATGGCAGGCATCCTCAGAGGTTGTGCGGTTGTGAGACCTCACAACCTCTGAGGATACCTGCCATAGGTGCAGGAGAAATGTCAGGAGAATGTTTCTAGAACATGACCATACAGCCCAAAAAACCTACAACAACCCAGGAAATCTCACATTATCTGTTTGTACTGGAATATATGGCAGTGTGGATCCAGATAACTCAATCTGGAAGGACCTTCACCGAGTGATCTTGGGCTAGATACTGTTTTCTCAAAGGAAGGCAATGGCAACACCCCAACTCCCATTCTGCCAAGTAAACCCCACAATGGCTTCACCTTAGCATCACCATAAGTCAGAAATGACTTGAAAATACACAACAATAATACTATGCAGTTTTTGTTACTGGATTATAAATGTAATTTCCTAATTGGTTCTATCATAAAAACATGGAAAAGGTGTATTAAACTCCAAAAATGTTGTTTTTGTGGGACATCCTTCAGCGTATTTTGCTATAGTTTTTCAACGATTATGTCATTGAGTCTCAACCAATTCAACATAGTTTGTGGCAGCTACAAAAATGAAGTTTCTGGAGCATAACAACTACTTTCAAAGTAAGTACCACACAATTAAACAAGAATAGGATTTTCAAAGAAGGAACAGAAAATTTTTCAAATTTTGTTAGATAACGTAATTTGGTACAGTAGGCTGAGGTTTGGTCCAGGACCTTTCCATGGATACCAAAACCCATGTGTGCTAAAGCCCAGTTATATATAATAGCATACTACAATGGTGTCCCTTCTATAAAATGGAAAAATCAAGGTTTGCTTTTGGGGGTTCAAAACAATATCTAAGGGCCCTTCCACACAGCCATATAACCTGGAATATCAAGGCAGATAATCCACAATTCTGCTTTGAACAGGATTATCTGGGTCCACACTGCCATATAATCTAGTTCAATATGGATTTTATACAGCTATGTGGAAGAGGCCTTAGTCATGGATGGACTGTAGATACAGAATACATGGATCAAAGAAACTTACTTAGGTACAAATCCTAAGAATCCTTAAGATACAACTAGGGAGTTATAGTGTTAATGTGATACATCCCATGGAGACCTGTTCATTAGAAAATTGGCCACATTATCTTGGAAATTCAAAGAGAGTTTAAATATTTCAGCATGGAATTGTAGTTTGAGTGCTGGACTAGGAGACTAGCATTTAAACCCTGCTCAACCATGGAAAGACAAAGCTGAATAAAAATCCACATTTTCTGCTTTGAACTGGAATATATGGCAGTGTGGACTCAGATAACCCAGTTCAAAGCAGATATTGGGATTATATGGTTGTGTGGAAGAGCCCAGAGTGACCTTGGCAAGTCACATCTCCTCATCCTTAGAGGAAAGCAATGGCAGCCTCTTCTGAACATACTTTGCCAAGAAAAACCCATGAAAGGCTCATCCTAGGGGTGCCATAAGACTTCAAAGCACAAATATCTCATCATGGCTTTCTTACTATGGCTACATCTACATGACAGAATTATCACTGTTTGATTCAACTTTAAACATCAGGACTCAATGTTATGGGATCCTGAGAGTTGTAGTATTACAAGGTCTTGAGCCTTCTCTGCCAAAGCGTGCTGGTGCCTCATCCAAGTACAACTCCCATGACCCCACAGCATTGAGCCATGGTAGGTAAAGGTATTATTATTATTATTATTATTAACTTTATTTGTACCCCGCTAGCATCTCCCGAAGGACTCGATGCGGCTTACACAGGCCAAAGCCTCAGAACACAATACAGTAAAAACATAACACAACAATAAACAAAGCAAATCAAAATAGTTAAGCAGAATAACAACAACAGTGACAATACATCAGGACACTTTAAAACTGGGCCGGCCAGAGCAATGGGGTACAGGGTTAAAAGTGCTGAAATGGCAGGAGGAACGTAGGATTAAAATAGTGCGGTGTGCAGCAATCTTAATTATACTAAAGTGCTTCTAGGACTTGGGATGGGGAATTCCTAATCTGAGAAGGCACATCGGAACAGCCAAGTTTTTAGGTTCTTTCTGAAAGCTGCTAAAGTAGGGGCCTGTCGAAGATCTTTTGGAAGGGCGTTCCAAAGTCGGGGGCCGCCACAGAAAAGGCCCTGTCCCGTGTCCCCACCAAGCGCGCTTGCGACGTGGGTGGGATCACGAGCAGGGCCTCCCCAGATGACGGAGTGAGCGTGTGGGTTCGTAGATGGAGATGCGGTCACGCAGGTAGGGTGGTCCCAAACCGTTCAGGGCTTTGTAGGTGAGCACCTGCACCTTGAATTGGGCTCGGAAAATAAATGGCAGCCAGTGGAGCTCCTTAAACAGAGGGGTAGACCTCTCTTGATAATGAGCCCCGGTTAGCATCCTGGCTGCTGCCCGCTGGACCAATTGAAGTTTCCGAGCCGTCTTCAAGGGCAGCCCCACGTAGAGCGCATTGCAGTAATCCATTCTAGAGGTGACCAAGGCATGGACCACCCCGGCCAGATCAGCCTTCGCGAGGTACGGTCGCAGCTGGCGCACAAGTCTCAATTGTGCAAAAGCCCTCCCGGATACCGCCGACACCTGAGCCTCAAGCGTGAGCGAAGAATCCAGGAGGACACCCAAACTGCGGACCTGTGGCTTCAGGGGGAGTGTAACCCCGTCCAACACAGGTAGCCACCCTATACCCCGATCCGGTTTACGATCGACCAGGAGGACCTCTGTCTGGTCAGGATTGATCATGGTGGTTAAAGTGAAATCAAACTGCATTTATTCTGCAGGTAAAAGTTGTCCCCTGACATTAAGTCCAGTAATGTCCGACTCTGGGGGTTAGTGCTCATCTCCATTTCTAAGCCGAAGAGCCGGCGTTGTATGTAGACACCTCCAAGGTTATATGGCCAGCATGACTGCATAGAGCACTGTTACCTTTCCATCGGAGTTGTACCTATTGATCTACTCACATTTGCATGTTTTCGAACTGCTAGGCTGGGAGAAGCTAGAGCTGACAGCGGAAGCTCATGCTGCTCCCCGGATTCGAACCTGCGACCTTTCGGTCAACAAGCTCAGCAGCTCTGCAATTTAACCCACTGCGTCCCTGAGCCATGGTGGTTAAAGTGAAATCAAACTGCATTTATTCTGCAGTGTAGATCAGGCATGGGCAAACTTGGCCCTCCAGGTGTTTTGGGCTTCAACTCCCACAATTCCTAACAGCCTGTGGGAGTTGAAGTCCAAAACACCTGGAGAGCCCAAGTTTGCCCATGCCTGGTGTGGCTCCATCTCAGGTCAAATCCAATGGAGGTTGCAATTTCCTCTGTTATATGGGCACTCATCTCCAAAACAACAACAGCCACCACCACTCTAGCCCAAATAGGATGAGCATGAAGGGGAAGAGAAGTGAAACCAAGACAGTCCCATTGCTGAGTAGCAAGTGCCACAAGTCCCTGTTCAAAAGCAGGCAGCTAAAGAGAGAGAAAAGGGAAGCCAAGAGATGAAGAGGTCAGTGTGCTACAACTACTGGGAAGGAGACTACCTTCTCCCTACAAGGAGAGGGCGGTTTGCCGAAACTAGCAAAATGAAGCTCAACAGGGACAAACGCAAAATATGCCACTTAGGCAGAAAAAAGGAAATGCAAAGAAATGGGGAACGCCTGGCTTGAGAGCAGTACGTGTGAAAAAGATCTTGGAATCCTCGTGGACAACAAGTTAAACATGAGCCAACAATGTCATGTGGCAGCAAAAAAGCCAATGGGACTTTAGCTTGCATCAACAGGAGTATAGTGTCTAGATCATGGGGAGTCATGCTACCCCTCTATTCTGCCTTGGTTAGACCACACCTGGAATATTGTGTCCAATTCTGGACACCACAGTTGAAGAGAGATATTGACAAGTCCAGAGGAAGGCGACTAAAATGATCAAGGGTCTGGAAAACAAGCCCTATGAGGAGCGGCTTAAAGAGCTGGGCATGTTTAGCCTGAAGAAGAGAAGGCTGAGAGGAGACATGATGAGGGCCATGTATAAATATGTGAGGGGAAGTCATAGGAAGAAGCAAGCTTGGTTTCTGCTGCCCTATTTTATTTATCGTGTCAGGAGCAACCAGACATTTGTATTACATTTTTAACAAAACAAACAAACAAACAGACAAAACACAAAGTTTGCAAGCTGCCCTGGAGACTAGAATACGGAGCAATGGCTTCAAACCACAGGAAAGGAGATTCCACCTGAACTTCCTAACTGTGAGAGCTGTTCAGCAGTGGAACTCTCTGCTCTGGAGTGTGGTGGAGGCTCCTTCTTTGGAGGCTTTTAAGCAGAGGCTGGATGGCCATCTGTGGGGGGTGCTTTGAATGCGATTTCCCTGCTTCTTGGCTGAATGGGGTTGGAGTGGAAGGCCCACGAGGTCTCTTCCAACTCTATAGGGTTCTAAGACCCTCTTCTTGGGCTCCAAGTAGGAGCTAGATCCCTACTTGCCTGGGAGTAGCCCCAACTGAACTCAAGAAGACATTTGCAGAGAACTACTGCAAGGCAAGGCTGCCACACAGGATTATATTCGAAAGACTGTCATTGTTTGGAATGAGAAAGTGCCTGGAGAGTTACCTGCTGGATCAAAGGCGAGGGCAGCCCATGGGTCCCCCGAATAGGAAGGAGGGGCGTGCAGCGGGAATCCTTGCCGTGTCGTCGAAGTACAACTTTTCCGTAGCGCTGTCCAAGGGCTCTGAAGGCGGCGGCTGAGCTCCTGCCGGGCTGCGAGTCCTGCCTCCTCCTCCTCCTCCTCCGGCATCCAAAGCTTTTGGGAAAGGGCAATTCGGGAGTCGCGTCGCCCTCTGCCCCGCGGGCTTCTAGGCAAGCCTTGGTGTGCCTCTTTGGAGGGCGCGCCACCTAGTGGCCAGACGCAGAAGGGAAGGAGGCCAAGACAACACAATGCCTCGCCTACAGCACCGGTAAGGCTAGGGAGGAAATCAAATCCCTTGCCATTCCCAGATACTGGCCTGTAATAGAATTTATCATCTGCCTTGGTGAATATCAGGTAAAAAGTGAGTGCTAGAAACAATATCATAACAAAGTTAACTGGCACAACCTGGGGATCACAACCAGATACATTAAAGACATCTGCCCTTGCGCTTTGCTACTCTGCTGCTGTGTATGCTTGCCCAGTGTGGAACACATCTCACCACGCTAAAACAGTAGATGTGGCTCTTAATGAGACATGCCGCATTATCACAGTATGTCTACGCCCTACACCACTAGACAGAGGAGGCCCTAGGTAATTTTCAACGGTAAGCAAAGAGTATTTTGCCCCCCCCCCCCCCAACCAATCACTGATATATATTTTCTGTTTGTCGTGGGAGTTCTGTGTGCCATATTTGGTTCAATTCCATCATTGGTGGAGTTCAGAATGCTCTTTGATTGTAGGTGAACTATACATCCCAGTAACTACAACTCGCATATGTCAAGGTCTATTTTCCCCCAAGAGCACCTCTAGAGCACCCCTGGGCAAAATCAACTATACTGCGAATGCTTACTTTGCGTAATGGGTTGAGCCGCCCCTGCCACTACAGAAATTATACTGTTATGCCAGTACTGCACAATCCATCAGGAAGTAGCAGCCAGTAATGAAAGGACCAAGGCATTGGAATCCCTGGCCCACCCCTTGTTCAGATATCAGCCAGCAAGCCAACACCTTAAATCAAGAAATAGCTTTCTAAGATCGACCGAGATACTAGCAGGAACACCACAGCAAGCGAGAGTCCAAAAGTGGCAGGGTGAAACCCAGAACCTCAATCTGTGGCTGATACCAGATGAGAGACTCCCCTCTGGGCAGACTGGGCAACTTGGAAGGCACTGAACAGGCTGCGTTTTGGCGCCATGACGTGCAGAGCTAACCTTAAGAAATGGGGCTACAAAGTGGAATCCGCAACATGCGAGTGTGGGGAAGAGCAAACCACAGACCACCTACTACAATGCAGTCTGAGCCCTGCCATATGCACAATGGAGGACCTTCTTATAGCAGCACCAGAGGCACTCCAAGTGGCCAGCTTCTAGTCAAAGGACATTTAGCATAATGCCAAGTTTTTAACTTTACAGGTTTTTTAAAATGCAACATAATTGTACTCTCAATTTGCTTCTGACATGATAAATAAATAAATATATCTGGAAACGTGATAAGTATGCCCTCTAAACCTTCATCTAAGTCATTAATAAAGATATTGAACAGTACTGGGTCCAGGACTGAACACTTTAGTTGTTTTCAATTCATTTGAGTTTCCTTGTGGAGAGAAAAAGCGAGATATAAATAAACATAATAATAACAATAATAAATTAAAAATATAACTTAAATCCAACAAATTGAAAATAATAAAAAACACAGACATTAACATAGAAAAGAAAACAACAAAATAAGAATATATCCCTGTAGTATTCCTTTTCCATAACTTCTTCCCCACCCCTGCCAACTAAAACTAATAAATAATAATAGTAATAATACATTTTATTTGTTAGCCATCCCTCTTCGTGTGAAATGTGAAAGAACAATGCAATATTTAAAATGAAGAACAATTTAATCCACATAAATTTACCAATATTTCAATGGGAAGTGTGGACCTGCTTTTGGCTGATGAGATGGTCAAGTTAATTGGGGTTAATGTTGTTGTTGCATGCCTTCAAGTCATTTCAGACTTAGGCAAACCCTAAGACCAGGTAAATAGTCTTGGAGGGCCGCACCCATCCTATGGGCCTTAGTTTGGGGGCCTTTACCTTAGAGATAAAAGCATCTTTGTTGTACTATGAACTTCTTAAGGGGATTCCCTCTCCAAAGCTCTGTGGCGTCATTTCTGAGTGCCACATGCCTGTGTAAGAAGACTAATTCTTAATTTTTTGGTGCCGGAAATTAGGGGCAGGGAAGGGAGGGAGACACTGCCATTCCAATGCGGGATGGCTGTGGGGACACCTCCTGGGATCGCGGATTGTAGCCTCCATGTCTATAAAGATCTGGATCTATTTTAATAAACCTGGGTTAACAGGGTTAAATCACATTAGCCTGGGGTGTCATTTCATCTTCCTGCTCTCTATATTGCATTATCTGGCAGTGTAGAAGAACCCATTGAATAGATTATATAGCTCTGCTCTAATCAGGACTAACAACAGGATTTAGGCCATTGTATTACTTGTCATTTCTGGGATTCAAGCAGGCTCTGGGTCTAGTGCCTAATGTCTGAGGAAATCTTAATCCTACACAAATCAACAGCCCAGGGCTCTCAATCACTGAAATTACAAATAGGACTTCATAATTTCTCATATCAAATCAGATACAATGTTAAAACTCTCTAAGGTTGCATACTGTAAAGTCTTCTGCTCAACCTATTCATTGCCAGACCATTGTATCGAGTGCAAAGCTAAGAGCAAACTAATTTCAGCAACTGAAGGCCTCTCCTTTAACACCTTATCAATCAAACAACTGTTACAAAATATTGTAAGAATTACAAATATGTACAGGAAAAAAAGAAAAGAAAGAGAAAATTATAATAAAAAGAACAACAAGCATAGTATTGAAAGAGAATACATATAAATAGGTGACTATCAACATTCTTTTCTGTGATTATAGATAACAAAACCTTTCCAAAAAGATTTGCTGCAGAGCTTAGACTTGCCAACAATAGTCATACAGTAGTATTTTGTGCCTACAGATATCCAGAGGCTTCCAAGCAGCCCATAAGACCTAGCAAAACAAACAAATCTGCCAATGAGAGCGAGAACAGTGAAAGCTAATAGCTTTCTCTAAACCTATGTCATATCTTTTATGTTACATGAGCTGCTTTGGATGCTTACTAGTTTCTCTTCGAATAATCCAGTGAAGCTTGAATTCAAAACCATTTGACACTGTTATAGCAGTATGATTCCACTTTAACTGCCATGGTTGCTTCCTATGTAATTGTAAATATTTTACCAAATTGCCAATTCTAAAACTTAACCAAGTTGGCAATTTGATAAGGAATTTAGAATTAAATTGGAAATGACTTGAAGGCACAAAACCACAACCACTACCTAAAGACTTTAATTAGTTTAATGTGCTGGATAACTTCTCTGGAGGAATCTATCACAGAATCCTAAGTATTTCACCAAATCCTGCGATGTAAAAAAATCAAACCATGGCACTTAAACATGAAGTAGGCAAGAAGATTTATACAGCAATCTCTGTATTGTGAGGGCTTGAGATGAATTTAGACACTGGTTCAGTTAAAGCAAGGACCTTACAGTTCTAAGCCACTGAGGCAATAAAAAATGACAAAGCCCATCCCACGACACAGGAGGGCTTCCTATTTGTGCCCATCATGATTTGATGCCCAAATATCAAAAAAGATCCAAAAAGCTAGCGAGGGGGGGTGGGGGGATGGCCTAAGATCGTCTTCTGGACTCAGGGAGCAGGATATTCCTTTCAGTACAAAAACATGTGGGATAAGAGCTGTCAGAATTGCCTGCATTGTATCAAATCTATGATGTGGGCATTTGGGCTGTCCTGTGGCCGGTCTACTAACCAGCAATGAGTCCCTGGTACTCTGCCATAATGTAGCTGCTTGATCCTTTACAGGTTTTTTTTTAATCAAACTAAGAAATATTTTTATTTTTATAGATTGCTATTTTTCTTTGCGTTCAATAGGTTTTCTGATTTTTCTATCCTTTTTAATGCAAATCTCAATACCATGAGGGTTCAAACCCTCATAATTAATCTACTCATTTGTGGGATAAGGATGGAAATGGTTAGTAATGGAGAAACCAGCAAATTCAGACATGATAAGTAATGAATAATGGAATATAGTAATTTTCAACACTATAGGACTAACCACCACAATTGGTACCCTCCCCCCTCCATGGGATAAAGTCTCAAGTCAATAGAACAAGAAGGGATAGCCTCTCCTTTTTGTTAGAAGGGAAATTTACTCAGGAAACAATGTCTTGTCTAAAATTGTTTAAGTTTCTCTTCCATCCATGTAGGACCTCACTACTGAGTAGCCAAGTTAGGTATGCATCAAGTTATAAGAAATCAAGACTAGTGTGAACCAAAAACATTAGCTATTATTTTTACTGCTTTTTTTGTTTGTTCCTGGAAGGCCCAGACCATTGGGGATACATATTCATAGCTTGCCTCCTCCTCTGCATATAATATCTCAAGATAACAGAGTAATCACTATAATGCCATCAATCATCCTCCCTAGATATTTTAAAAAAAACATTTTTGCCTGATGAAAAAAATGATTTCAAAAGCTAATCCTTCCACATTCACTGGAGTTAGGGCCACAGGATCCCTGTGAAAGTGAAAAAATGTGAATTAAAAATGCTATGATTATTTTCATTTCTTGTCTTGGAATATTATAAATCTCAATAAATATTTTAATTAGCATTTTTTTTTACCCGAGAGGTGATCTCTCTAGGTACCAATATATCTATGTCCTCCAGAATGACTGGTTAGCTTCTGCACGAAGCTCAGCATAGGATCACACTGGAGAATTTAGAGATTCATAGAGAACACCTTGATCAAATCCATGAATAATCAAATTTGCAGAAGTCAAAAGTGTAAATGTGGAGGGCCAACTGTACCTTTCACTTCAAATCCATGTTTCTGGTAATATCACCCAACATATACTATAAACCAATATAAAGTTGGTTAGTAGAAAGATATACGGTAGACGTCATTTCTCTGTTCATCCAATAGCTGTTGCATGTTGAATAGGCACTCTTGGTCACTTTTTAAGAAATAGCAGGGCTCCAAAACAATTAAGGAACTTGGAGGCATATTGATAAAATCTGCTGAATAGTTGATAAAATCAAGAGTGGATTCGTCATTCTGTGTGGTGGGAGATCTGTTGTCTAT